AAGTTAAAATAAAGTTGAGTTTTTGTCGAAAAGGAGAACTCTTACCCCCTCTGCTGATGTATGCATGCAACTGCAGGCTACTTATTATAAATGTGGTCCTTATTTTCAATGATGAAAATTAAAATGTAAAGCAAATCCCGTCATTTTATTATTTAGTAAACAAACGAACCATTGTAGATGCCACACATTTTGGCCTTACAAACAAACTATAGACTGATTTTTATGGTTCATTTTCTTGTCTCAAAACAAATTGCTATAATCGCGTTCCTTCATTATTCATTGGAAAGTTATAATACTACATGCTTCCAAATCATCGTATATCTTTTTTATTTTTTCTTTTTTTTTTAAATCATCGTATATCTTAAATTCATCAGCCAACATGCATAAACTAATTTGTGGTGACTTGATGTATTTTATCGTAGGAATATTGAAGCATCAAAAATATGGTGAGAAACGTGAATGATTTATTTGTGTCTGCCATGACACAGATATTTGATGACTATTTAAAAACATGTAGATTTTCTAAAATAAAAAAAAATGTAGAGAAAGAAATAATATGTGCTAAGGACCTTGACAATGTGAATAGGTACACTGGATTTCACAATAATATGAATATCTTGAAATTAATGCTAGAATGCTAATAGTTTCACAACCAACTGGAAATCATTCAGGTTGACAATACTTTATTGTTGTTATTTGGTGCCATTGAGTGGACTCAAACTTGTAGCACCCTCTGCACCACAGAAAGAGATACCCCTGCTCTTGCACCATCCTCACAGTTGTTAGACTTGGACCCCTTGTTGCAGCCTCTGTGTCAATCCATCTTGTCAATGGCCTTCCTTTTTCCCCTGCCCTTCTGCTTTACTAAGCACGGTACCCTCCTCTAGAGACTGATCTCTTCTGATAGCATGTTCAAAGTACGTGCCATGGAGTCTAGCTGTCCTTCCTTCAAAGGAGCCTTCTAGCTGTACTTCATCCAAAATGCAATGTGTGCTTTGACTTGTTCTTTTAGTAGTCCATGGTAAGGTCAAGGGGTCAAGGTCAATGTTCTTCACCAGCACCCTAATTCAAGGGCATCACTTCTTCTTCAGTTTTCCTGATTCAATGTTCCGCATTCACATGCATATGAGGCTACTGAGAATGCCATGCCTTCGCTCAGGTCCCCTTCAGCTCTCTTTGCTCTTCAACACTTGAAAAAGGCTTTGTGCAGCAGATTAACCCAATGCAATGTATGCTTTGATCTCTTGTGTGTTATATGGAGAAGAACACAGCATCAGGAAGCAGGGAGGAAGGCTTTAACAACTTGTGATATGCAGATGACACAACCTTGCTGGTTGAAAATAAGGAGGAGTTGAAGCACTTGCTGATGAAGATCAAAGACTGCAGCCTTCAGTGTGGTTCATAACGCAATGTAAAGAAGAGTGAAATCCTCACAACTGGACCAGTAGGTTCCATCATTGGTAAAAGAGAAAGATTGAATTGATTAATGATTTTGTCTTGCTTGTATTCGCAATCAATATCATGAAATCAGCAGTCGAGAGATCAAACGACTCACTGCATTGGGTAAATCTGCTGCACAAGACCTCTGTAAAGTGTTGAAAAGCAAGGATATTACTTCAAGAACGAAAGTACCCTTGATGCAAGCCCTGATGTTTTCAACAACCTCATATGCATGTGGAAATTGGACCTTGAATAAAGAAGAATCGATGCTTATGAATTATAGTACTGGTGAAGAATAACGAAAGTACAATGGATGGCTAAAAGGACAACAAATCTTATTTTGGAAGAAGTAGAACTAGAGTGCTTCTTAGAGGCAAGGATGGCGGGCCTTTGTGTCACTTACTTTGGACATGTTGTTAGAGGAGACCAGTCCCTGGGGAAGGACATCAAACGTGGTAAAATTGCCAGGCATCAAAACAAACAAAAAAAAACCAGAAGGCAGACCTTCAACAAGATGGATTGATGTAGTGGCTGCAAACATACGAACAATCCCGAGACTGGCATAGGATGGGCAGGGTTTTGTTCTTTGGCACACAGGGCTGTTTTCAGTTGGAACTGACTGGGAGGCACCGAACAGTAGCAACCACAGGGAAGAAAATAGTTTCCTTTTGTCAATTCTCATAATGCACATGGAAGACCGGTAATGTGGATTGCTTGTACCGTATACAGAACTTATCATTGATTCTTTGGATTGCTCTCCTCAGTAAAACAGACACACAGAACCCAGACTGAGCCAAGATGACAAAGAAGGTGGGAATATCAATACAAGAAATGAAGTAAAGCGGAAAACAAGTAAAATAAAACCAAAAGAATCCAACTCTCGAAATATTCTGAGAATCAGGGAAAGGTAGCACTCACCAGCACAGCAGTGTAGTGTAGTACAGGGTAGTCAAGTGGAAGTGAATGCCTGTGGGCCTTCAAACAGTGAGTGTTGGGTTATTTACCTCAGTGGAAGCAGTATTTCCATGCTGGATATGAGTTGAGCCTGCACTTAGATGAAGCCCAGTTCTTCTTCCTTCTTTACAACTTATCAGGCAAGTTACCTTTCAACTGTAAAATCTTCATAGTAATGAGCCATCTACTCCTAGAGCTGTTCCACATTACAGTATGTTGTGAGCTGCAAGCCTACACCACCAGCTGCTTCTCGGGAGACAGACAAGACTGTTAGTTATTATGTGTTTATAGTCCCAGAAACCCAAAGGGAAAGAGCTACTCTGTCTTACAAGGGCACTATGCGTGGACATTCACTCCATGGCAGTGGGTTTGTCAGGAGTCCTTAATTCAGTGTGTCTGGTGGGGTCCTGGGTTATGTGTTGGCTTGTTAACCACCTAGAGTCAAGAGCATTACGGAAGATAATCTGTGTACAGTTGTTGGAGAAGTGAGGCTGTCTACTTCCATAAAGATTTTAAATGTCTTGGAGACCCAAAGGGACAGTTCTACACTGACCTAGGGTCCTTAAAATTCACTTTATTGCAATTGGAATTTGACATCAGATCTCTATTATGTCTTGTCAAGTTTCTTTAAGCCTGTATATGTAACAGTCAGACTCATTATGATGTGAACATATTCTTGTTTAGAAGTTGTATTTAATTGCATGTGCCTTTTGTGTTTGTTTCTTTTTTTATCAATCTCTTGGTAAGGGATGGGGCAAATCTACTTTAGACCATTTCCCAAAATTACAGAATAAGTTATTTCATTGTCTTAGTGGTACTTGAATAGAGGTATTGTGTCATCCCATCCAAACACTGTCAAATAGACTTGCACACTGTCTGATAACCCTGAACTTTTTGCATCATTATCAAATTTCCATGAAAATCATTAGCTCGCTTATCTGCTGATAAATTAAGTGAATAATTAAGTGGCAGGATTTGACTGTTTATTGTCTTAGTCTAAACCTGAATCCATGCAGTGTCCCAAAAAAACATATTTTGTTTCCAGATGCTTTATTTCTAACTGAATTTTATTGATTTGTTCTTGTTCTCTTAATTTTCATCAGGCTGCTAAGTTGGCTATCACAGTGCAAGCCTTGGAGTCCCAATGGGGGACTCAGGAGCAAGACGATCTACCCTGGTGTCCCGGTTGCCAATATTCAGAAGAAGTATTAGCAGAAGACATGATTCTCTTCCTTCTTCACCCTCCTCCAGCAACACCGTTGGGGTCCACAGTTCTTCTCCTTCCAGCACGAACTCCAGCTCAGGTAGTACAGGGAAACGCAGGAGCATATTCCGCACCCCTTCCATTAGCTTCCACCATAAGAAGGGGAGTGAACCAAAGCAAGAATCTACCAACCAGAACCTTAGTATTTCAAATGGTGCTCAACCTGGTCAGGGCAACATGCAAAAACTGAGTGTAGAAGAGCACATTAAAACCAGGGGAAGACATTCTGTTGGTTTTAGTAGTTCACGGAATAAGAAGATAACCAGATCGTTGACAGAGGATTTTGAAAGACAAAAGGAGCACTCTGCTAATAAGAATGTTTTTATAAATTGCCTAAGTTCTGGCAAAAGTGAGGGGGATGATTCTGGATTCACAGAAGAACAAACTCGCCGTTCTGTTAAACAATCAACACGGAAGCTACTTCCTAAATCTTTTTCATCTCATTATAAATTCTCTAAGTCAGTTCCACAGAGCCAATCCATCTCATTGGTACAACAATCCGGATTCTCACTGGAAATTACACAACATCAAGAGAGAGAGCCGGTATTAGTCAGAGCCACGACTTGTTCTGCGGATGTAACAGAATGGCCAGGAAGCTCCTTACAATCGTCTTTGCTCTCTGCAGATCTCACCACAGCTCAGACACCTTCAGAGTTCTTAGCCTTGACGGAAGATTCTGTGTCTGAAGCAGATTCGTTTCCCCCAAGCGGAAGCATGGCGTCCCACTGTGACAACCTTGGCCACAATGATTCTACCTCCCAGAGCTCTCTCAATCCTGCTGCTGTTACAAAGACAACGATAGAACTTATGGCAAATGCTCCTCGTGCAATTATGTCTCCTGGGAAGTACAGATTAGAAGGTCGAGGTAGTACTGAGTCTAGTTCCTTACCTGAAACCCCTGCTGCTAACCAGAAGGAAGTATTATTGCAAATCCCTGAAGTACCTGTTATGGATGTGAGTGACTCCGAGATTCACCTATCAATAGATAATCAAAGAGGAGAAAAGATGGTGTTACAAACTGGTGAAAAAATGCTGGGGACATGCTCCCCAAGGAACCTTGGATTGTATGAGCAGCATAAAGCAATACCTGAACATGTTAAAGGGACACATCCTGTTTCAGATTCAAAGATCATCCCCTCTTCTGGTGACCATCATGCTGTTAACAGAACTTCATATGGTTATGAAGCAAATCCCACCAAAGGTAAGGTGCTTTTCTTTGAGTGAGAACTAGCATACACCGATTTCCACTGTCACTTACTTTCTTTTCTTACTCCGTCAATGGAAGGACATTAGGATTTCCATTGTTTCAACTCACTGATAGTCTTTCTCTACCTATGAATAAGTTTTAAAATATTTACCCCATTTGATTTTAAAGCTTACCTAGATTTTATTATGCAGACAGTAATTCAACAATAGTATTTTTCATGGTGCTCACCAAATTCGGAACCTCAGAAGTTACTTAGCACATTTTTTTACTACCCTTCAGAATAGAATAGAAAATAAATTAATTTTATTTATAAGGGATAACTTTAGACCTTTTGAAGGTCATTATCAAGGTATTAGTATTTCTTAATGAAGTGAATACATTCTAGTTATAGACAATATTAAATAAATTTCTATTACTCAAATTTTATTTTCTATTCCAAAGTGGTTCCATTGGTAAACAGGTTTATGGTTTGGCATAAATACTGTGTCCCGTGTTGCAGGAGAATAAAGCCTTTACAATAAAGTCTGAGGAGCCTGGAAGCCCTGGTTATGATCCAGCGTATGTCATTAACTCGTTGTGTTACTTTGCACACCTTCACATTAGTTTACATTATAATTAAGTCATATATATATATGTCTAGGTCTGTGTTTATGTACATGTGTTTTTGGATTGAATTACACCCTTATGGCTTCAGAAAACTATATATAACATCAAATTTATTTGGCCTACAGCACTGCATATGAATATCTCTGGTGGTCTAGTGGTAACGTGTTAGGCTGCTAAGCAGCAGTTTGAAACCAGCAGCTGCTATTTTTATTGCTTTCCTACTATGATTATCACTGCTTTTGCTGTTCCTACTGCTGCTACTACTAGTGTTTCTCTCGGTATTGTGTTTGTAGATATTATTATGTCCGAGATATTATGTGCCAGACATTGGCACAGGACCGGGCAGCATTTCGTCCCGTTGTGTATAGATAGGGTCACTGTGGATTGGAGCAGACTCAATGGTATCTAACAAATAAAGAGAGTGCTTTTTGCACTTTGTGTATCGGTTTAGAGTTCTCTAGAGAAACAGAACCAATGAGATGTGCATTTAAAAAAAGAAGAAGAAAAAGAAAGAAAGCAGAAACTAAAGGAAACAACACAGCGTTGCTTTCGAGTGCACTCTGACTCTTATTGAGAGATTGCTTTACTTTGAGACGAGCTCATACAATTGTTCCAAGTTCAGTATCACTGGGTCCAATGGAAGGCTGGAGGTCCCTGAAGACTTGTGTTTCATAGGCTGTATGTCCTACCCAATGCCACAGGGTCAATTGACTCTTACCGACCCTACGGGATTTCTGAGGCTGTAAATCCCCGAAGAGGGAACTTTCTGGTGGGTTTGAACTGCTGACCTTTCAGTTAGCAGTGCAGTGCCTGCATGCAACAGCACCACCACCAGGGCTCCCTGTCACTCAGAGGCACAACTTAGAGTGGGACTTCTGGTGAAATGCATACATGTAGACAGAAGGCAAACCCCCGTTTTATTCTTTTGGCTTTTAGCTGATTGGTAGAGGCCCTCTCATATTATGGAAGAGAATTTGCTTTACCTTAAGGTGAGACATTTGACCCACATGCAGTTATAGCAACTTAAAACTGAAACAAACAAACAAAAACCAAAATACCAACCTCACTGCCATTGATTCAGTGCCAACTCACAGTAACCAGGTAGGGCAGGGTAGAACTGCCGCTGTGAGTTTCTGAGACTTTAACTGTTTAAAAGAGTAGAAAACCCCGTCTTTCTCCCAGAGAGCAGCTGGTGGTTTTGATCTTGCTGACTGAAGTGCAACCTGTAACAACTATGCAACCAGGGCCTTGCAGCATCTAAAGGACTCCCTCCTTTAAGAAGCGAGCGGCATGCTCGCCCAGCCACATAGACACGAAATTAACCATCAGGCATATATAAATTCATTTAACCCACAGGTGATTGACATTGCTCCTATTACTATAATTCCTTTCATAGGGAAGGCAATTGGGACAGAGTTAGGTCAGGTGATTTGTCCAAAATCAAAAAGTGAATACGCGATGACTTAATTGACATACAAACCTTATGAGGTAGGTGCTAGTAAAGCCCAAACCCAAGCCGCTGCCGTTGAGTCCGTGCTGACTCCTCGTGGCCCTGTGTGCTGCGGAGTGCAGCTGTGCCCCACACGGTTCCAGGCCTATGGACTTCTGGGAGCAGACCACCAGGCGTTCCTGCCAAAGCTCCTTTATGGGAGCAAATTGGCAATGTCAGTTACCAGCGATGCGCTCGAGCGGGGACTCGTTCTTGTGTGTGCATGAGAGGACACAAAAGGCACTGCCTCCTAGGGTTGCCTTTATGTCTTTTCTCCTA